AACAAAACACTCTCTTACATTACAATACGGACAACAGATCACTAGGAAAGGTCACCAATTCCTCGTCTGTCAAAATGCATGCTGTTATGTAACCATGGCAACCCATGATGACCAACCTTGTCCCACTCCCCCTCCATGACATGGTTGCGGAACTTGGTAGCTGAGGGGTGTTCCAGTCTGCAGCCTGATTCCTGCATCAGCAGGTCCACTGTCTGACTGCAGAGACACAGAAAGGAAGGGGGCAGAGAGGAGGACAAAGTTAGACTGGCATGTAGACAAATGACGGGTGAAATAAAAGAAAGGAGGGGGTGACTTTAAAATGTATTCAGAATAAAACTTCAGAGACAGTTCTAAGAAAATGTGAGCTCATCAGTATGATGATGAAAAGTTAGCTCATGAATCACGATTATATGAAACTGCTTTCTAGGCAAACTTTTCTTGATTATCTAATCACCTTTGGCATTTCACTACTGTGACTCTGCTGTGTTTACAGGGACAGAAAATAGGTGAGTGGGAGATCTGCACCAGTAATTTTAACGCTGGGACAATAATAACGTCACTGGCTGACAACAGGATGAAGACAATGTTATATTCCACGGCCAACAATGACTGGAGGAAGTCAGCCCGGAGCAGTCCTGTCACCAGAGCATTATTTGTGGACAGTAGGAGGTACACTAACATGAACTGAGCCCTCCACTGCAGTTGACATCATCCTCCCAGCCTGTCAACCATAAACCATAACCATCTGTCCAAACACCACCTCTCTGCTAAACACACTCCACCGCCACTGCTGCCACCACAAACAAGTCTGCTGAGATGTGTGTGTGTGAGAGATAATGAAAAGTGGGTTGGGGATGGGGGTGGCTGACACCTCCAGCATGATGACATCATTCTCAGGTATCAATGGAGTGGCGCAGCAGCTCTGTGTTGAGCCTCTCATCCAGCTGGCTGGCTGCTACACTGATTTCTCTTGCATTTCCCCAGCTGAAAACGTGGGGGCTCTGTTTCATACCAGGCAATGCCATGTATCCCCCTGACCCACCCTCTCTGTAAACACAGCGATGTTAGGCTGCCTTTTATAATGCCTTGTAATGGCAGCTCCACTTTCTCAGCTGGGTGCCAGAGATCTGCGGATGTCTCGCTTCCCAACAGTGACTCCCACAGCCTCTCTTTGAAGCGCAGGGCTAGGCATACATTTCTTGAAAACCCCACCATGCTATAATTAGATTCAAACACAGCGCTTGCATCTAAAACAGCTGGCAGAAAGAAAGCACATTCTTCAGCCGCCATGAAAGCAACCGATTCTGCTCGATACAGGACCAAGTGTCGCCCACGGTATCGACTGCTGCCTTTAAATAAATACATGCCCCGATACACGCGCGTCACTGTTTGTGACTGACTGTTGACACACTGCTCTGACACGGTGACAGCCACAGAAAAATACAGACATTAGTCCGTGAGGAAAGTTATCATAATCACGAGATGGCTATGTAGAAAGGTGATTATTAACGTGATAAATAAAGAACTTGACAGCTCCAGCCGTGCAAACGCTGCACTCGGAATACTAAAATAACCAGCACAGTTTTCATAACCATGCTGGTTATTACAGTGTGGCCCGACCTATTAATGTTGCTCCCACTCCGTCTTGCAAAAACCATATTTTTCCCGAGGCAGCCAAGCTGGAAAATGAGGAAAACCACCAACCAACCGACGTTGACAACCCGCACATTAACATTTCCTCCGCATTTTTTTTCGCAACGCAAAAACGCACACAGCAAACTCGATAATCCGGCTTGTGCACTTCATTTAAACGCTAAATCACGTTTAAATCCACTGCTATCATATGCTTTACAAACCATAACAAGCCAACGGATCTGCCATTAAACGCTACAAACGTTAGATGATGTAATGCCTTTTATTCAGTGCGAAATCTATAACGTTAATTAACGCATCATGGCGCTGCTAGCATCTGAAACACACTCCAGCTAACGATGGTGTTGTTAAGCAGCCAAATGTTGGACTGTGTTGTGTTTGTGTGAAGGTTTAATGTCAGGACATAGCACCTCAGGGAAGGCTAATGCTGTTAGCTATCAAGCTAACTGTTATTGTGCAAGATGGACCCCTTCTTTCTACCAACTGCCGAGCTCACAGGCTAACTACCCCATCCCCCCATGTTTGTGTCTGTCAAGCGCACTAACAGCGCTTTTACCATCTGCTATTTAGCACTATGACGACAAACACCACTAACGTACATCACACCGAGTATGTTCGACGCTACCGTTATGTGCTTTTGTCGGTTTTTACCTCGACTTTGGGAAACTTACTTCAGCCCTAGTCCGTGGAGATGTTGCCCTATTAATCGTATGACATCTTCCTCCGCCTGCGATAGTCGTTTTTTCTTTTTCAGAGAGCCGACCTCCGAGCCCGAAGCTGTAGAGGCAGCCGAAGTCCCCGAACCGGGCCCGGCTGAAGAGCCGTTACTGGTACCGACGCTATTCCCGTTGTCTGTGCTGGAGAGAAGCCCGTTGGAGTGGGTGCCACCGGCCGAGGATGACTCCCCGTTTTGTGCGCTGTTAAGGCAGGAGAGCTCTGAAGATTCTTGTCCCTGTCCTGCCCCGTTTGCCTGCATGCTGCTACTGAGGTTGTTGACGACACTTCGGTTAAAGTGGATGGCAGAGGTGGCTTGAGAGTGCGAAGAGTGAGTAGCAAGTCCTAAGACAACTCCGGTTAGGCCTGTTACAACTGCTGAAGCCCCGGGCTCTCCTGCTCCCTCCGCCGCCGAGGCTCGGTGCTTCTTCCGCGGGGGCGGCGACGCTCCGCCGGTGTCCGAGTCGGAGGAGGAGGAAGCGGAGGCCAGAGTTTCCTCACCGAGAGCGGCCGTGGTTAGAAGCCGGCGGAGCTCCGGGTGGGAAATGAAGGTTAAGCTTCCAGATTTGAGGCCTCGTTGTCGGGCTCAGAGCGGACTGTCACCGTGGGAGCGCTGTCAGTTAGCCCGTTTTTGTTGTTGTTTCTCTCAAAACAGCTGCAGCTCTAATGGAGTCCTGACGCCCTGACGTAACCGGAAATTCCTACACTACCAAGCTTCCGGGTAGAATTATAATCCATGGGTGGCGCATGAGAACCTAGTTAGCATAATAATTAACCGACAACAATAAAACATCGTATTAAAATTAATTTCGTTTGAATGTCTCCGGAGACTTGACTTCAATATATCCGGTATTTAAAATTAGCATAATGTGTCGATCTCTTATTGACTTTCAACAGGTGTTCAAATTTTTTATTTCTAACTAAACAACCCTATAAACCACGTAGCCCCAAATTCTTTTATTTACAAAAATAAGCCCAAATAAAATGTAAGTATTTTTCAAAATTGCGGTTAAAATTTGACCCGATTTTACCACTAAATTACAACATATTAGACACCTGATATAATCATAATTTAAACAATAAATAAAAGCAGCAATGGCTTGTCCAGTCTATATTTAAATAATATTAACAACAACAATAATTCGTAATGGCAAAAATGAATAATAATAATAAGTATTATTATTTTTATTATTATTATTACTATTATTGTATACAGTTAAATGTATCATACCTCCTTCAAACTCTGCAAAGTTTTCCTCAAAGTCACATAACTGTCACTTTGCTTTAATACTGCCTTGTAGCTCTATAATTTGTTATTTTCAAAACCGTAAAAAGCATTATCATTGTTATCATCATCATTACTATTGTTAATATTATTCAGTTATTGCACATGAATATTTTTTATTCTGCTAATTATTGATATAGTCAGAAACACTTACAAAAATGTACCTTTTTATGGAGGACCAAAAATGACTCAGTATCAATAAATAAATGAATATGTAAATAAATGCATAGACAAATAGATACAGAGATAAAATAATAACTATATAAATAAATAAATAAATAAATACAGATACATAACTGTTGAAACAAATATGGAAACATAAAGATTAATGCATGACTAAATAAATAAATAATCAATACGTAAACAGGACATAAAAAAATGAACATCCTAAATTTATTTCTACATTTTGTACAACTACATTTATTTATTTATTTATTTATTTATTTATTTTTGTGTCTGTATGTCTGTAATGAGGTGGGAGATCCTAACTTTTGAATTTATTTCTTCATTTATGCATTTATGTATTCACATATTGATTTCAGCATTTATTTATTTATTCCTGTATTTATTTATTTATAGATTTATCTATTTACTTATTGATACCCATGTCATTTTTCATCCTCTGTAACAATTCAATGTGACTCAATAGGAAAATTACAGGTGGAACGGTGTTTCTTTTCCATTTAATGTCCTTGTCTGCCTTCACAATGAGAGTCAGGTTTCAACTATATATATGTATATATACATATATATATATATATGTATATTTCTGTAGTGGTGGCATGCTCTTATAAACACTTATATCACAGACTGTGCCTGTAATGGATCAATGCAAGCCCATGTTTCAGCAAAACCTTACAGGACGACTAGCTGATGAAGGCTGATCAAGGTCTTTTTGCTGACACAAGTATAGATGAATAAACTAATCAGATAATGAATGAATAAACAAGTAACAAGTGGCTCGAGACGTCTATTGTATTTATAATTAGATCACTGATCCAACACTGCTGACCTGCCTTTGTCTTGACACAGTTAATATGCCAACATGCTAACATGTAGAATGTAGAATTTGGCATAGATATTTGATATTTGGCATAGATTGGCCTAGTTATTCTTCTTTTTACTACAAACTAAAATGCAGCTACACATTTTATAAGGTTGACATCATCATGTAAGATATAAATCTGAATTTTCTCTTTATTTGATTTTTTTATTTCAATATTTTGGTCTGGAAATGATTAGCATCCATAACATGAAACCCCCACTGGTATTTTTGGTACTAATGTTGCCTGATTTGAATAAATCTCAAGACTGCAAGATCCATAGTAATCCCCAAAACTCAGTGCAAACATGTTTTATTAACACAGTATCAATACAGTGCAATTAAGCTACATTATTTTACAAAACCTGAGCTCAAGGTAAAACAAAAAAAATGTAATTTATATGTCTGTTCCAAGCTTGTAATTCTCATAGCACTCTATGAATCAAGTCCAAAATGATAAAATCTTTACTGCAGGAGCTCTGTCAGATCATCGCCTGTATTCCTGAATTACGTACTATACAAAATCAGTTTCTGTTATTAGATTCCTTTGTGGGTGAAACAGTATTTTACAGTTAACGGTTTATTTTGTTGTGTTGGTCTACTTCCATATGCTTTACATTGCTACAGAGCGTATGAAAAACAGCTGTGTATATGAGAGAAACTGAGCAGAGTGGACATTCTGCCCAGACGTATCCACATGTTAACGGCTTTTCATCATGTGAAAACAGTCAAGAAAGGTCCCCAGTTTGATGTGGAAGGGCAGTGGTCACTGGGCCGCCATTGTCACTGGGTTTGTCTTTTCCTTTCATGAAGAAGGTGAGCAGCTCCCCTTTACCTTTGACAAATATGGGCCCTCTTCGGATGAAGCGGAAGCCATACTCCTTCAGGATGTCATAGCAGTCCTCCACCACCTGAGGGCAGAGCAGGCATGATGATTAAAACAGAAGTTGCGCTAATAAAAGAGACTAATAAGTGTGCCTGAGTGCTACCTGGATGTTTCCCATCACTCCGGTGGACTCCATCCTGCTGGCTACATTAACCGTGTTCCCCCAGATGTCATAGTGAGGTTTACGAGCCCCGATAACTCCGGCCAAAACTCCCCCTTTATTCAAACCTGAGGGGATCGACATGGAAACATCAACACATATGCTTGAAAATGTGCACACAGACAGGCTCACACACACACAGACACACAGCCATGTGCACTGACCAATTCGGAGCATGAAGTTGTTGAAGGACTGTTTGTTGAGGTTGTTGAGGGTGACTTTCATAGCCAAGGCAAAGTCTGCCAGGTCAGCGAGGTGCTGCCAGTGCTCGATCAGTGATTGGTCGTCTGGCTGTGGAACAACAGTACAACTTTTACTATCATTGCTAAAGGCAGCAGCTGTTAAGATAAAGCAGAGGTAGGCTTCACTGGGCGAAAATCCCATAATAAGCTTTGAGCATATTGTAGTTCAGGTGGCCTGAAAGAAAACTTCTTCACTTCAGCTTGGCTCTGTTTTCAGGCTTCAGAAAATGTAGCTCATGATGAGAGACTTCATTTCAGAGGGAGCAGCTGTCAGTCATGTCAGTCACTGCTGGTAAACTGCAGTCAAACTGTCAAACTAGGCAGCGCTCATCAAATATGAACCAAGATTCTCATAGGTGTAGATTTCGGGATGGGCTCAGGCGGTATGTCCCCCTGAATATATAGAAAATACGCATATTTTGACACAATTAAAGATGTTTACACTCTATATTGTTGATGAAAAGTCACAAATTGATGCATAAAAAAATCACCAGAATCGAGGAAATTAAGTGTTTGATGTTCAAAATTTTCTGGTGGGCAACCCCCAAACCTCTAACTTCATATGTCTTTTCCCAAATATTGAAACAAATTGTAAACCGTTGAAGATTCTGTCATTGCATTGCCTATTTATTGCCTCAAATATTTCAGAAACATATTTTAGTGCACTGTGTAGCTGTGAAATGAGTGGGCCTTTCCCAAAACCACACCCTACGCCCTCTCCCTACCCACTTTCACTGCATTTCCACTAGTCTCGCTCACCAGACTCAAGAAAAGAAAGGTCTGGCTGGGCCGACTCTCACTTTAAGAATGGAGAAAAAAACGCCCCAGCTGCTTGTATTTCTTTCAACCAATCACAATCGTTCTGGGCGGTGCCACAGCAACGGTGCGCTTGCAAAAATATTGCCGGGGGAAAACAGGTTTTGGTGTAACACGCCCACAAAAATATCACCTACAGGATGCGAACCATGGCAGAAAAATGGCTACATCCCCACAAGATCAAACACTGCAAAAGTTAGTAAAGGACGTGTTGGAAACGGTTGAAAACTGCTACACAACCGGAGGTGGTAGGGTTAGCGGGTGGCTTGTTCCGCCCGATGAGAGGCTGATCTATGCAGCGAACTTCCGCCCACTCAGACTACATTTCCACCAACTAGTTAGGAGTGGAAGTGACTTTTTAAAACCCTTCGACAACAAGCTAGCATCAATGCCAACTTGCTGACCACGTGCACCGCCGTATTGTGTTCGTCATTGAAGACGCTCCGTACAAATAATGCTCAGTGACTACCCTTGACGTGAACTGCTCAAACTAAGAGACATTTATAGGCCTGTTGTCACACAGATGTTCACATCTCAAAGGTTACATTGCATATAGGATAAATAAATCCTTCTCTAGTCTCTAGAAAACAGTTGTGTTCATTCAATTGTATTTCTGTATATTCACAAGAACTGTTACAAAAACCAAGCAGCTTCTAAACATCAGCAAGCAAGCAAAGAGATCTTTGCATAAAAAATAAAAGAATAGAAATGCTACCAAAGAAGTTTAGGAGTAGGATTTAATTCTATTTATTTCTATTTTATATGTATCAATTTATTGTGTTATTTATTTCTTTTAATGATAAAAACATACAAAAAGAACAGAAAATTGGACTGAGTTTATTTTTCTCCATGGTTACGACAATGCATGTCAGGATGACATGCAGAAAAGGTCACAAGCCGGAGTCGAACCTGCGACCGCTGTGGTGGCGATGAATTGCCTTTGTATATGGGGCGCCGGCACTATCCATTATGCTACCGACGCCCCCTGGCTGCCATCTTGAAAACAGTCAAGCCAAACCGAAGCAACACCCACTGATCAGAGCAATCTTTCTCATATTACAGCTAAACAGTACACTAAAATACATTTCTAAAAAACAATACAGAACAGAAATAGGCAACGCAGAAACAGAATCTTGATTCAGTGCTGCCGAGTTTGTTCACAAGCAGTGATTGACATGATTGACAGCTGTGTTAGAGACTCCTTTTGTGATATTGTAAATTCCATTAGAAGCACTATGAGGATGCAAAGGAACATTATTTTTGTCACATTTTATCTAACTTTTATGTCCTCTATAAAAAAATACTTTTTGTCATACTTGCTGAAAATCTTACCTACCGTAGCTTTAAGATAAAGTGGTACAACACATAGCTATACTTATAATATGGTATAATCTATGAGCTGTTATAGTGTCTCACCTTGCGGTTGGTGTATCCGTTGGTGTTGCTCTCTGGGGTGAGTCCTGATGCAGCCATGTAGGTGCTTCCTATTGTCTTGATCTTAGTGATGCAGCGGAACTCATCCTTGTCTAGTAACTGACGGAGAAAGCAGTTAGTCACGGTGAGTCAAAACCTGAGAGTTGGACCATTTGTTCTCAACACATACAACCTGCTGTACAAACGCAACAGGGACTCACACTGTCAAAGTCTGAGATGATCTCGTTGAGGATCCGGAGACACTCGATGCCTCCGTTGTTGATGCTCTCCTCAGTGTAGAAGTCAGAGAAGTTGGGGATGGAGGCAAACATCACACCTATTTCATTGTAAGACTGGCTGTACAGCTCCTGTGAATGACACATGACATGAGGTTGATAAAACTTTTCTTTATTAAAAAGGTCATTTTTACTAAGAAGAATACACCAGAGGAAAGCTTTAATATGTAGTTATAAAATAGACCACAAGATGGCACTGATATAATGAACTACAATTCGATGAGGTGCAGGCGTCACACACAGCACCTTCATTCATTTAAAGATGCATTTAATTAAGTATAGAAACTTCCTTTGACCAGTTACTTCCATCACCCCTGATGAAGGTGTAAGCTGAAATGGCTTTTATCAGCATCACGACCCCCCTCCTCCTCCTCCTCCTCCTCCTCCTCCTCCTCCTCCTCCTCCTTCGTCCCTCACTCATGTCCTTTTCTTTTTCTCACTGCTCTCAGACACCCACATATCTAAATCATACAGTAACTTGGCAAACACTCAGATGTACCTCATCTCTTTTCTTAGCGCCCAGGAAGTGTTTGGCCACATGCTCCGGCAGCATGTTGGTGACCAGCGCTTCGTTCCAGCGTCTCATCTCAAACACCCTCTCCTTCTGGTCATGCACGCCGATCTTCCACAGGAACAGCTTCCTGGACTGACGCTCCAACTGCACACACCACAGAGGGAATCAAAGTTATATAATATTAAGATTAAAGGGAAAGTTTGGTATCTTTTAACCTGGACCTTTTTTTTACCTGCTTTTTTTTGTATATAAGTGACTAATGGGAGCAACAGTTTGGGAATTGGTCCAGTATTGAGAGAGAGGGTTGAAACAGGCTGCAATGTAACCGCTTGGGGCATCGTCAATTTACGTCCACTAAAAGCTTGTTTTTGCCACTGACAGGCTCAGATGGTTATTGCAATTGTCTGATAATTCATGTACAGCATCCCTACATAGATAGAACTCTTTGTCAAAGCATAAGATCCTTTTTGTTTAACTAGAAACAGCCCCAAAACCACCGTTGCCAATTTCACCAAACTCCATTTAAATAAACAGCAATTTTAGGGTGTATAGAGTCAGCATATTTTCACAACTAACTGGGTGAATTAAGAATTTATTTTCACCAAAACAGAGTTGGTAATTGTTGGAACAGTGGAAAGACAAATGAAGATGTTTTTTGGTGAGTTTAATTTTGTTTCTGTCGACTTTGAATGAATTGTGTTTTACGAAGATAAAATTACTGTTTATTTAAATGGAGTCTGGTTGGTTTGGCGATAGAGATTCTGGGGCTGTTTCTGGTTAAACAAAAAGGATCTTACTCTTTTGCAAACAGGTCAACCCCTCTAAGAATCCTTTCCATAAGTTGTCAGACACTTCAGGTAATAATCGGAACGTGTCATGGACAAAGATGAGCCCCTTTAAGCCCCATTTCGACCAAACACTTTCAGTATGGTACCTTTGGAACCAACAGTAACCCTTCAGACATGGTAGCTAGACCCTAGTGTTTCCACTGCAAACAGTACTCTTAAATGAGGACGGGGTTGTTGTCACTCACTGCTCAGTCCAGCACTCACTGTATTTCCTCATCACCGGTGACACAGATGGAAGTCTGCACATCATTTATCGTCAACAGAACGAGGCTGCAAGCCGACATTTTAAGAACAAAATCAAACAGGCTGCAGTGAGAGTCTCTCTCCATGGGATATTTAAAAATAGCAGGTTTGTGCATTTAGTCCTTCTCAGGCAAGCTCAGGAGTTCAGTGTTGCCGTAGCCCACAGGAACGATGCTCCGTGACACTTTTTTTTCTCCAAGTGAGGATTAGAATATATGCAGTTCACATAATCTGGTCAAAATTAATATATATAAAGGCCTAAAGATCCACTCATTACTAAAAGTGTATGTCATAAAAACTAAAGTGATGGTCAAAGTTATCTCAGTGAAACTTAAGATGTGCTGATTGAGTATTGAGTAATAACAAGTAAACGTTCCACCTTAAAAGTTGCCGGCAGTCAGAGAATTTCCGACTCCACCTGCTGCAAGAGGCAGCAAAACATGCTGTAATTTTATAGTTACAGTTTACAAATAAAACTCTCCACTGTATGAACAGTGGTTACATGAGCCTCAAAACCAGCCACAACTCAGCCCTGAGCAGAGTGACCGTCCTCTATTGATCAATCAACAGACTGCAGTGTTCACAGCTCCACCTTTTAGTACCAGATCTGTGTGCTAGCTACCCCAACAGAGGGGGGACCAAAAATGGGGACAGTACGGAACGGTTCCATTGGTACCATCCACAACTTTTCACAGTGCAAACGGAAAAAAAGTGTACTGAACTGAACTGAACTGAACTGAACTGAACTGAACTGAACTGTACAGCTTGGTGGAAACGGGGCTTTAGTGGACGTAAGTTGATGGTGCGAACACCCTGAATGGTTACACTGCAGCCTATTTTGTGGCTTCATGCAGTATATGATCAATATATTAATAAACTGTTGCTCCCATTAGTCGCTTTGACACAAAAAACATGGGAAAATAGGGTCCGAACTTACACTTTAAATACACTGAAGAAAAAAACCCATCATCATGGAAATGTGATAACTGCTCTGCCCTGTTACAGGAAGCTTTCCTCTGCAGGTCTGACTTTAAAGGCTGCAGCAGACAGGCCGTGGGTCGGCAGAGTGTGATACAGTGTGGGTGCACAGTGACTCACATGGCGGGCAAAGAAGTAGAAGCCAATCATCATGACAATGATCATCATGGTCATGAGGTACTTGGACGGCACTATGGATGTTCTGGAAACAAGACAGAGGCAGAATAATTTACACTGGACTTAAAACTGTATTTTAAGAACAATAAAAACAACTAAAGATAACAGAATATTTCTCTTTTGGCTTATTTATTTTTGTATTGTCAATATACTTACATACACATTTCATGTCTCACCTGTATGAGGCAAACTGTATGTAGTCATACAGGTCATAAATGTCCCGCAAACTGTAGACGTTAACCGCTCCGGTTGCTGTGACGACCAGCACCATGAGTCCCAGCTTAATCAGGTGGCTGACCTGCACCAACATGGCGGTGGCGATGAGTGACATCACAGCCATGAAGCTGTAGTGCTTTGGGTTCTCTGAACAACCGCCATCACCAAATGACTCCAGCACGGGGCCATGGGTGCTGTTGAAGACTCGCAGGGACGGAGGAACGCAGCTCAGCTGTAATATCAGAGATGAAGGAGTAATAAACACTATAAACTATATATTTGGAATAACCCTATTACAACAGCAACAACAGGAAGAGTAAAACATGTTTGCTTCTTTTTTTCCAAAGCATTTTCACTCAGCTGTGACTGTCACAGCCACATGACAGCTAAGACAGAGAAATGAATGTTCACTTCAGCGTCCTCTTTTCCTGTCAGACCTTGAAGGCAGCAGTGTGTGTAACAGGCTGCTCCCGTGGGGCTGTGACAAATGAGCCAGCAGGCAGTGAGACAGACAGCTAATGGACCCCACAGGGAACATGTAGTCAGACACATAAAAGGCAGTGATAGTTTGATGAGGACAAAGTGGAAACGCACACACACACACACACACACGCTCAGGCTGGCTGATAAGACGATATGCAGACTACTGCCATGGCAGCATGTGACTAACAGGATCTTTGCATTAAAATGATAAAGTAACTGGTTTCTGGATTAGTCAAACAATTTATCTCCCAATATCGCATTAGCCATATCCTCCACCCCTAAAACACACACACGTATGCACACAATATATCAGAGTTGTATCAAAGTGTCCTGCAGTCGTACCATGTCAGCGATCACAGCCATTGTAAGAACAAATATGGCCGCCATAGCCCAGGTGTTTCTGGCCCACCGGGTGCGATCGATCCACACTGAGAAAGACACCAACCTCTTGGAGAACATCTGTGACAAACAAACAGCTTTCACTACGTATAATGTCTCTGTAGACATTTTCAAACTTGACAACATGAACATTTTAAATGGGTCACTTTAGGTTTCCTTTTGATCTTATACAGCTGTATCAGAGGTGGTTGAAAATGTCGTGCCTTGAGCCAGAAAAGGTTGGAAAGCACTGATCAAAGACATGTTAAATAAACTCTGTTTCCCGTCAAGACAACCATGGATACTAATTTAGTTTCTCACCCTGGGGAAGATAGCAGCCAGGGAGCACAGTGTGAGTATAAGCAACAATACCTCTCCTATTGCCAGAGTCACATAGTTCACAACCAACCTAAAACAAGAACACACATCTTTAGTGAATTTTAAGGCACAATTGATTCATGTATGAATTTACAAATGTTAAAGGAGCATGTCAACCTCTGCATGCTTTTAGTTTTTTATATTGAGTGTGTATTAAATGCATTTTATGAGATGTGAGACAAAGTGATATATGTGAACTCACAGTGGGTCTATGAACACCTCCATGGCTGTAATGAAGAAGAGCACTATGATGCAGCAGCAGAAGGCCACTCCGCTTCGCTTCTCCTTCTCTGAGGAGTAGTGCTCCTCCAACTTCCCATCCAGGAAACGCAGCGACACGGGGTTGATCTCATGGTCCTTCATTCTGCGAGGAGCACACACCACACGTCATCCCCCAAACTCTGTTATCATCACCCTCTGCTTATGTTATCTTATTTTATTTGTCTCATTTTCTCACATTTTCTGACTCTCTCTGTCCAGCAGCTCCTGCTGCAGTCGTCTGTTGATCACATGTTCCTCCACCATCTTATTCCTCTGAGACTGGCGGCAAGAAAAGACAGATTAGAAAGGTAAGATTAAGTGCATCAACTATGTACTGAGGATTATGTGTGTGCCTCTATGCATGGTTATAAATATACTCTCATGTGTGCTGATGTGAGGAGCTGAGTTTATGTTGGATTATGGATAAAGACATCTATCATAACTCACCTCATGTTTAGACTCAGTGGGCATGGACTGGGGTGAGGCTGCGTTCCCACTGGTTGCTGTAGTGTTGATCAACTGGTTTGAATTTCTGTTGGACAACATGTCTGGTTTCTGAGAGAGAAGCGGGAAAAACATCTGTCAATGTGATTTAAACATAAATGCAACAAAAAAAAAGGGGGGGGGGGGGGGATGCTTTTTTTTGCACCTTCAAATGTATTGTTTTCAATGTAGATGTACGACAGACACGCTCAAATGCCCAGAGCGACACCGTCATGATGTGCACATGTCCTAAGTGCCTATTTGTCAGGGTGCCACGGCTGCACCCTGAGATAAACTGAATTAAACGTTTGGAACACAGCAGCATGCACCACGTCATGTGACGAGGAACAACCAATCACAGCCGACAGATATCTTTCCCTTCTCCCTTTATCTGTGAGAAACATGAAAAAGTTGATCATGTTAGTGCAGGGCTACCCAGAGCTTTACATCTGTACCATGGATGATAGGCCTACACACTTATAACCAGCACCTGGAGGATCAGCTCTGCACTCAGGATTTCAGGCAAATAGGCTATGATACAGTGCTTGTCAAGTTTGCTTAGCAGCATCAGATGCTACCCACCGTTGTGCTCCTGAAAGCTGGCACAGAAAAGGCACAAGAGTAGTGCTCAGCGCCTGACCTTGTGTTTTACAGGTGGATAAAGACGTGGCATGTGTACGATTCCTTATGTTGAATTTGTGAAGAAAAGATTGTTTTTCTTGCATGCCTCCATGGTAAACAAAGAATCCAAAAACTCATGCAATATAATTCAAGTCATATGCTCAGTACCTCCAAAACAGACAAACCTATCCGATGGGGAACTAAGTGGAAAGTGAAACTAATCCACGCTCTCTTCAAAGCCAGACTCCATGGACAAAAACATCATTTTACCTAACTGAACACAGGAGCTGCTGGTCTACCACTGCCTCAATCAGTTGGTTCGGTCGTGGTATTGTGTGACTTTGGTGAATCTGAACTAACCTTTTAAAACACAAACAAACTAACAAATCAAGGCAGTGGTAGACCAGCAGGTTCCGTGTTCAGCAAGGTAAAAGTTAGTCTGGCTTTGAAGAGAGCATACATAAGTTGCAAATTTTGTTCAGTTCACCGTTGGAAAGGTGCTGTCTGTTTGGCAAGTATTGATCATACAACTGGATAAATAGGACTTGGATTATACTGCAAGAGATGTGTGAGAGTTTGTAAACAGATATTTTGATATAGTTTTGCTGTTGTTTAACATGGACCCCTATGACTTTAATTCATCAAGATTTTTCTCCGCTTTTGGATTCTTTGTTCACCGTTAAGGCATGCAAGAAAAACTAAGTTTTCTTTACAAATTCAATGTAACGCTGGGTGGGTAACTGAAATACAGATGGTCATTTGTTGGGTGAAGTATTCCTTTAAACTCACAAACTATACTTTTTGATAAAGTCACTCACATTTCCACTGAGCCCGTTCACCATCTGTTTAGACACCAGAACCAGGTAAGTTTCAATGCCTTTCTCCAGCAGGTACTCGCACCTCTCTCCGCCATTCCCCGGCTCCAGTTCAAATTCTCCGTGCAGACTGTCCTTGGTGGTCTGGGAAATATGAACTCTCCTGGGTAGCACACAAACCTCTTTAAATAAAGTGCATGAAAAAAACTGACTGCTTATACTGACAGTGAAATGAATTACTGTTCTCTCACCCAGGAATCCCCCCAGACTCCATCTTATTGGCTACAGTGACATCTGTGGACCAAACGTCAAACTGCCACCTCTTCTGCCCAAGCACTCCTCCCAGCACGGTGCCTGAGTGAACGCCCACGCGCATGTCCACTTCAGTTCGAGTCTTCTCTCGCACGTACCTGGAGCAAGAGGGACAGTGGAGGATCTCTTCAAGTCAGCCCACTTCTCTATGTCTGTATTGTCTTTCATGTCTTCTTCCATATTCATATGTACAATTTTAAGATTTAGGCAGGATGTTTGTCTTGCCTCCTCTGCTACCTCTCCGCCTGCTTTAATTATTCAAATTGACACCATCCTCCTCACTGTCTTTATTTTTTCTTGTGTAAACTTCTTAATTTATTGTGATTTCCTGTTGTCTTGTCCACAAGATACACAAATAAACTGATCATTATATCACATCGACATTGTCACTATTTCTTCCTGTCTTTGCTTTATGTCTTTGTTGTGTATTTTCTCAACTGTGAAAAAAAATCGTTACTGCAGAATCAGAATCAGCTTTATTGAACTAGCATGTGTGCACATTTAACAGGGTCAATTATACAACTCAGCTCAGTGGTGCTAGCAGTAGATGCGTGCTTCCTTCTGTGTGTTGACTTGGTTGGCGAGTGTCGTTCGGCATGTAGGATTTACAAATATAGACAGTGACAGTGCATGATGACATGTACTTACGAGATGGCGTCTACCATCGCTAGGCCCATCATTATGGAGCAGGCGGCGTGGTCATCTCTGAAGTCAGGAAGACCACAGATGCAATAGTAACAGTCTCCAAGGATCTTAATCCTCAGTTGGTGATGTTGCTGCAAGACAGACGTGCTTATTTAGTGATGGGCAAAGCAGTTCTTTTTAGTGTACTGTTCAGAATCCATTCATTCAAAAGATTTGTTTAAAAAATTTGTTCACCAAATTGTTCAGTGCTTGACCCGAGCTCCAACTGCGCACAGTCCCACTCACTGAACTGAAACATAGCTGAATGTTCAGTTCAGCTCACTAACTAGTGAACTGAGACTGGAGAATTTGACTGGATAAAGATACTGACAGCTGAAGTCCGACCCTATTGTGTACAGCAGGTATTTTCGTGACGCCTAATTATTACATAAAATATTTGGTATGACTTCCTACTTTGAGACTTCAACACATGAGAGGCAAGGAGCGACTCAGCAACTCACTCGGGGCTCATGTTCATGATGGGGTGTGTTCAGGGAGCGATTACTGAATTACTGAACATGCACCGAAAGCATCTGAGACAGTCTCAAACTTGAATCACTCACTTAGTGAGTCCCTGAATGCAACTTTAATTTAGTTCAACTGAATTGAGAAATGGATGGATTATCTCAGGAAGTGATTCCGTTCAGTTCCTTCGCCCAAAAGATTTGTTCTTTTGAACAAATCGTTCACAAATGACAACACTATGCATATGCATCTTTATCTACAGAACTCAAATTGGATCCTGATTTAAATCACTTTAAACTCAAACTGAAACAGTTTTTGAAGAGGAATCAGTTGTGTAGTCATGAATAATTTGGTGCTTCTTATTCGAAAGTGCTGATTATGTATTGCAGTTTGTGTCTTGTATTGTTCTGTCTGTAGTATCATTATTGTTTGTACTTTGCACTGTTACTTGTGTTTTTGTTGCTGAGTCTTTTGTATCTTAAGGCCCAGCTATGGACGGGCATTGCAAATTAGCTTGGGCTATAAATGCTGTGGTGCATGACATTTATGTATGCTACATACTTGTCCCTATACAAATAAACACTGAATAAACAAATAAATATTTTAAATAAGTGTAGCGAAGCAAAACATTGGAAAAAATGACAGCTGTAAAACCATGGAAAATTATATTTCAGCTATATAAAACATTACCTACCAACTATAAACCTAACAGAAGATTGTTTTGATCATATCAAGGAGGAGAAACAAGTGAAAACGAACAGACACTTACTTCTGCCAGTTTGTCGAAGCGGGCGAACAGCTCATTAAGCAGCTTCACGAGCTCCTGTGCGCTACAGGCTGAGGACAGCTGGGTGAAGCCCACTATATCAGCAAACAGGATACTGGAACACAAAAGAAGAGGTTACAATGTCACATTCAAAGGGGACCTATTATGATCAGTTTTAGGTTCATACCTGTATTTTAGGTTTCTACCAGAACACGCTGATGCCTTAATGGTCAAAAACCCTTCATTTTTGTGTCAACAGGTAATTATACATCTGAGCATACAAAAATGGCAAGCGGAGTTCCCCAAGGCCATTCTGGGGCCTCTTCTGTTTTTGAAATTTATTTATTTGGATAAACCTGAGATGCCTCATCTCGTTTTTGAGGGGGTCCAGACATATAACAAACATGGACTCAACAATACACAAAAACAGAAACCAATAGACAGAAAAAAATAAATAAAAATAAAATAAGAAAAACAAAAAAACACACAACACAAAAAAAAAAAACATAAGACAAATCACAGTTAACATCATGACAACATTAGGACAATACAACCATAAGAAGGCCACAATGGCCAACACTGAAACAACAGCAAATAATGTATATGATTAAAGCACCAAATCAGAGAGGTCACACAGTTTCAATGAAAACAAGAACAGGCCACCTTAAAGTGAGAGAACAAATGACTCTTGAAAATAACAAACGATGAAATAGATCTGATGTTAGCTGGTAAATTATTCCAATCTGTTGGTGCTTTAAACATAAATGATCTTCTGCCGAATGATTTATTGACTCTAGGAACAGAAAAATAGAGATGGGTAGAATGTCCGATATGATAATTTGATGTATACGGTATAAGAAACTGCTGTAAATAAGGTGGATAATTAAANTAGCAGGTTTGTGCATTTAGTCCTTCTCAGGCAAGCTCAGGAGTTCAGTGTTGCCGTAGCCCACAGGAACGATGCTCCGTGACACTTTTTTTTCTCCAAGTGAGGATTAGAATATATGCAGTTCACATAATCTGGTCAAAATTAATATATATAAAGGCCTAAAGATCCACTCATTACTAAAAGTGTATGTCATAAAAACTAAAGTGATGGTCAAAGTTATCTCAGTGAAACTTAAGATGTGCTGATTGAGTATTGAGTAATAACAAGTAAACGTTCCACCTTAAAAGTTGCCGGCAGTCAGAGAATTTCCGACTCCACCTGCTGCAAGAGGCAGCAAAACATGCTGTAATTTTATAGTTACAGTTTACAAATAAAACTCTCCACTGTATGAACAGTGGTTACATGAGCCTCAAAACCAGCCACAACTCAGCCCTGAGCAGAGTGACCGTCCTCTATTGATCAATCAACAGACTGCAGTGTTCACAGCTCCACCTTTTAGTACCAGATCTGTGTGCTAGCTACCCCAACAGAGGGGGGACCAAAAATGGGGACAGTACGGAACGGTTCCATTGGTACCATCCACAACTTTTCACAGTGCAAACGGAAAAAAAGTGTACTGAACTGAACTGAACTGAACTGAACTGAACTGAACTGAACTGTACAGCTTGGTGGAAACGGGGCTTTAGTGGACGTAAGTTGATGGTGCGAACACCCTGAATGGTTACACTGCAGCCTATTTTGTGGCTTCATGCAGTATATGATCAATATATTAATAAACTGTTGCTCCCATTAGTCGCTTTGACACAAAAAACATGGGAAAATAGGGTCCGAACTTACACTTTAAATACACTGAAGAAAAAAACCCATCATCATGGAAATGTGATAACTGCTCTGCCCTGTTACAGGAAGCTTTCCTCTGCAGGTCTGACTTTAAAGGCTGCAGCAGACAGGCCGTGGGTCGGCAGAGTGTGATACAGTGTGGGTGCACAGTGACTCACATGGCGGGCAAAGAAGTAGAAGCCAATCATCATGACAATGATCATCATGGTCATGAGGTACTTGGACGGCACTATGGATGTTCTGGAAACAAGACAGAGGCAGAATAATTTACACTGGACTTAAAACTGTATTTTAAGAACAATAAAAACAACTAAAGATAACAGAATATTTCTCTTTTGGCTTATTTATTTTTGTATTGTCAATATACTTACATACACATTTCATGTCTCACCTGTATGAGGCAAACTGTATGTAGTCATACAGGTCATAAATGTCCCGCAAACTGTAGACGTTAACCGCTCCGGTTGCTGTGACGACCAGCACCATGAGTCCCAGCTTAATCAGGTGGCTGACCTGCACCAACATGGCGGTGGCGATGAGTGACATCACAGCCATGAAGCTGTAGTGCTTTGGGTTCTCTGAACAACCGCCATCACCAAATGACTCCAGCACGGGGCCATGGGTGCTGTTGAAGACTCGCAGGGACGGAGGAACGCAGCTCAGCTGTAATATCAGAGATGAAGGAGTAATAAACACTATAAACTATATATTTGGAATAACCCTATTACAACAGCAACAACAGGAAGAGTAAAACATGTTTGCTTCTTTTTTTCCAAAGCATTTTCACTCAGCTGTGACTGTCACAGCCACATGACAGCTAAGACAGAGAAATGAATGTTCACTTCAGCGTCCTCTTTTCCTGTCAGACCTTGAAGGCAGCAGTGTGTGTAACAGGCTGCTCCCGTGGGGCTGTGACAAATGAGCCAGCAGGCAGTGAGACAGACAGCTAATGGACCCCACAGGGAACATGTAGTCAGACACATAAAAGGCAGTGATAGTTTGATGAGGACAAAGTGGAAACGCACACACACACACACACACACGCTCAGGCTGGCTGATAAGACGATATGCAGACTACTGCCATGGCAGCATGTGACTAACAGGATCTTTGCATTAAAATGATAAAGTAACTGGTTTCTGGATTAGTCAAACAATTTATCTCCCAATATCGCATTAGCCATATCCTCCACCCCTAAAACACACACACGTATGCACACAATATATCAGAGTTGTATCAAAGTGTCCTGCAGTCGTACCATGTCAGCGATCACAGCCATTGTAAGAACAAATATGGCCGCCATGGCCCAGGTGTTTCTGGCCCACCGGGTGCGATCGATCCACACTGAGAAAGACACCAACCTCTTGGAGAACATCTGTGACAAACAAACAGCTTTCACTACGTATAATGTCTCTGTAGACATTTTCAAACTTGACAACATGAACATTTTAAATGGGTCACTTTAGGTTTCCTTTTGATCTTATACAGCTGTATCAGAGGTGGTTGAAAATGTCGTGCCTTGAGCCAGAAAAGGTTGGAAAGCACTGATCAAAGACATGTTAAATAAACTCTGTTTCCCGTCAAGACAACCATGGATACTAATTTAGTTTCTCACCCTGGGGAAGATAGCAGCCAGGGAGCACAGTGTGAGTATAAGCAACAATACCTCTCCTATTGCCAGAGTCACATAGTTCACAACCAACCTAAAACAAGAACACACATCTTTAGTGAATTTTAAGGCACAATTGATTCATGTATGAATTTACAAATGTTAAAGGAGCATGTCAACCTCTGCATGCTTTTAGTTTTTTATATTGAGTGTGTATTAAATGCATTTTATGAGATGTGAGACAAAGTGATATATGTGAACTCACAGTGGGTCTATGAACACCTCCATGGCTGTAATGAAGAAGAGCACTATGATGCAGCAGCAGAAGGCCACTCCGCTTCGCTTCTCCTTCTCTGAGGAGTAGTGCTCCTCCAACTTCCCATCCAGGAAACGCAGCGACACGGGGTTGATCTCATGGTCCTTCATTCTGCGAGGAGCACACACCACACGTCATCCCCCAAACTCTGTTATCATCACCCTCTGCTTATGTTATCTTATTTTATTTGTCTCATTTTCTCACATTTTCTGACTCTCTCTGTCCAGCAGCTCCTGCTGCAGTCGTCTGTTGATCACATGTTCCTCCACCATCTTATTCCTCTGAGACTGGCGGCAAGAAAAGACAGATTAGAAAGGTAAGATTAAGTGCATCAACTATGTACTGAGGATTATGTGTGTGCCTCTATGCATGGTTATAAATATACTCTCATGTGTGCTGATGTGAGGAGCTGAGTTTATGTTGGATTATGGATAAAGACATCTATCATAACTCACCTCATGTTTAGACTCAGTGGGCATGGACTGGGGTGAGGCTGCGTTCCCACTGGTTGCTGTAGTGTTGATCAACTGGTTTGAATTTCTGTTGGACAACATGTCTGGTTTCTGAGAGAGAAGCGGGAAAAACATCTGTCAATGTGATTTAAACATAAATGCAACAAAAAAAAAGGGGGGGGGGGGGGGATGCTTTTTTTTGCACCTTCAAATGTATTGTTTTCAATGTAGATGTACGACAGACACGCTCAAATGCCCAGAGCGACACCGTCATGATGTGCACATGTCCTAAGTGCCTATTTGTCAGGGTGCCACGGCTGCACCCTGAGATAAACTGAATTAAACGTTTGGAACACAGCAGCATGCACCACGTCATGTGACGAGGAACAACCAATCACAGCCGACAGATATCTTTCCCTTCTCCCTTTATCTGTGAGAAACATGAAAAAGTTGATCATGTTAGTGCAGGGCTACCCAGAGCTTTACATCTGTACCATGGATGATAGGCCTACACACTTATAACCAGCACCTGGAGGATCAGCTCTGCACTCAGGATTTCAGGCAAATAGGCTATGATACAGTGCTTGTCAAGTTTGCTTAGCAGCATCAGATGCTACCCACCGTTGTGCTCCTGAAAGCTGGCACAGAAAAGGCACAAGAGTAGTGCTCAGCGCCTGACCTTGTGTTTTACAGGTGGATAAAGACGTGGCATGTGTACGATTCCTTATGTTGAATTTGTGAAGAAAAGATTGTTTTTCTTGCATGCCTCCATGGTAAACAAAGAATCCAAAAACTCATGCAATATAATTCAAGTCATATGCTCAGTACCTCCAAAACAGACAAACCTATCCGATGGGGAACTAAGTGGAAAGTGAAACTAATCCACGCTCTCTTCAAAGCCAGACTCCATGGACAAAAACATCATTTTACCTAACTGAACACAGGAGCTGCTGGTCTACCACTGCCTCAATCAGTTGGTTCGGTCGTGGTATTGTGTGACTTTGGTGAATCTGAACTAACCTTTTAAAACACAAACAAACTAACAAATCAAGGCAGTGGTAGACCAGCAGGTTCCGTGTTCAGCAAGGTAAAAGTTAGTCTGGCTTTGAAGAGAGCATACATAAGTTGCAAATTTTGTTCAGTTCACCGTTGGAAAGGTGCTGTCTGTTTGGCAAGTATTGATCATACAACTGGATAAATAGGACTTGGATTATACTGCAAGAGATGTGTGAGAGTTTGTAAACAGATATTTTGATATAGTTTTGCTGTTGTTTAACATGGACCCCTATGACTTTAATTCATCAAGATTTTTCTCCGCTTTTGGATTCTTTGTTCACCGTTAAGGCATGCAAGAAAAACTAAGTTTTCTTTACAAATTCAATGTAACGCTGGGTGGGTAACTGAAATACAGATGGTCATTTGTTGGGTGAAGTATTCCTTTAAACTCACAAACTATACTTTTTGATAAAGTCACTCACATTTCCACTGAGCCCGTTCACCATCTGTTTAGACACCAGAACCAGGTAAGTTTCAATGCCTTTCTCCAGCAGGTACTCGCACCTCTCTCCGCCATTCCCCGGCTCCAGTTCAAATTCTCCGTGCAGACTGTCCTTGGTGGTCTGGGAAATATGAACTCTCCTGGGTAGCACACAAACCTCTTTAAATAAAGTGCATGAAAAAAACTGACTGCTTATACTGACAGTGAAATGAATTACTGTTCTCTCACCCAGGAATCCCCCCAGACTCCATCTTATTGGCTACAGTGACATCTGTGGACCAAACGTCAAACTGCCACCTCTTCTGCCCAAGCACTCCTCCCAGCACGGTGCCTGAGTGAACGCCCACGCGCATGTCCACTTCAGTTCGAGTCTTCTCTCGCACGTACCTGGAGCAAGAGGGACAGTGGAGGATCTCTTCAAGTCAGCCCACTTCTCTATGTCTGTATTGTCTTTCATGTCTTCTTCCATATTCATATGTACAATTTTAAGATTTAGGCAGGATGTTTGTCTTGCCTCCTCTGCTACCTCTCCGCCTGCTTTAATTATTCAAATTGACACCATCCTCCTCACTGTCTTTATTTTTTCTTGTGTAAACTTCTTAATTTATTGTGATTTCCTGTTGTCTTGTCCACAAGATACACAAATAAACTGATCATTATATCACATCGACATTGTCACTATTTCTTCCTGTCTTTGCTTTATGTCTTTGTTGTGTATTTTCTCAACTGTGAAAAAAAATCGTTACTGCAGAATCAGAATCAGCTTTATTGAACTAGCATGTGTGCACATTTAACAGGGTCAATTATACAACTCAGCTCAGTGGTGCTAGCAGTAGATGCGTGCTTCCTTCTGTGTGTTGACTTGGTTGGCGAGTGTCGTTCGGCATGTAGGATTTACAAATATAGACAGTGACAGTGCATGATGACATGTACTTACGAGATGGCGTCTACCATCGCTAGGCCCATCATTATGGAGCAGGCGGCGTGGTCATCTCTGAAGTCAGGAAGACCACAGATGCAATAGTAACAGTCTCCAAGGATCTTAATCCTCAGTTGGTGATGTTGCTGCAAGACAGACGTGCTTATTTAGTGATGGGCAAAGCAGTTCTTTTTAGTGTACTGTTCAGAATCCATTCATTCAAAAGATTTGTTTAAAAAATTTGTTCACCAAATTGTTCAGTGCTTGACCCGAGCTCCAACTGCGCACAGTCCCACTCACTGAACTGAAACATAGCTGAATGTTCAGTTCAGCTCACTAACTAGTGAACTGAGACTGGAGAATTTGACTGGATAAAGATACTGACAGCTGAAGTCCGACCCTATTGTGTACAGCAGGTATTTTCGTGACGCCTAATTATTACATAAAATATTTGGTATGACTTCCTACTTTGAGACTTCAACACATGAGAGGCAAGGAGCGACTCAGCAACTCACTCGGGGCTCATGTTCATGATGGGGTGTGTTCAGGGAGCGATTACTGAATTACTGAACATGCACCGAAAGCATCTGAGACAGTCTCAAACTTGAATCACTCACTTAGTGAGTCCCTGAATGCAACTTTAATTTAGTTCAACTGAATTGAGAAATGGATGGATTATCTCAGGAAGTGATTCCGTTCAGTTCCTTCGCCCAAAAGATTTGTTCTTTTGAACAAATCGTTCACAAATGACAACACTATGCATATGCATCTTTATCTACAGAACTCAAATTGGATCCTGATTTAAATCACTTTAAACTCAAACTGAAACAGTTTTTGAAGAGGAATCAGTTGTGTAGTCATGAATAATTTGGTGCTTCTTATTCGAAAGTGCTGATTATGTATTGCAGTTTGTGTCTTGTATTGTTCTGTCTGTAGTATCATTATTGTTTGTACTTTGCACTGTTACTTGTGTTTTTGTTGCTGAGTCTTTTGTATCTTAAGGCCCAGCTATGGACGGGCATTGCAAATTAGCTTGGGCTATAAATGCTGTGGTGCATGACATTTATGTATGCTACATACTTGTCCCTATACAAATAAACACTGAATAAACAAATAAATATTTTAAATAAGTGTAGCGAAGCAAAACATTGGAAAAAATGACAGCTGTAAAACCATGGAAAATTATATTTCAGCTATATAAAACATTACCTACCAACTATAAACCTAACAGAAGATTGTTTTGATCATATCAAGGAGGAGAAACAAGTGAAAACGAACAGACACTTACTTCTGCCAGTTTGTCGAAGCGGGCGAACAGCTCATTAAGCAGCTTCACGAGCTCCTGTGCGCTACAGGCTGAGGACAGCTGGGTGAAGCCCACTATATCAGCAAACAGGATACTGGAACACAAAAGAAGAGGTTACAATGTCACATTCAAAGGGGACCTATTATGATCAGTTTTAGGTTCATACCTGTATTTTAGGTTTCTACCAGAACACGCTGATGCCTTAATGGTCAAAAACCCTTCATTTTTGTGTCAACAGGTAATTATACATCTGAGCATACAAAAATGGCAAGCGGAGTTCCCCAAGGCCATTCTGGGGCCTCTTCTGTTTTTGAAATTTATTTATTTGGATAAACCTGAGATGCCTCATCTCGTTTTTGAGGGGGTCCAGACATATAACAAACATGGACTCAACAATACACAAAAACAGAAACCAATAGACAGAAAAAAATAAATAAAAATAAAATAAGAAAAACAAAAAAACACACAACACAAAAAAAAAAAACATAAGACAAATCACAGTTAACATCATGACAACATTAGGACAATACAACCATAAGAAGGCCACAATGGCCAACACTGAAACAACAGCAAATAATGTATATGATTAAAGCACCAAATCAGAGAGGTCACACAGTTTCAATGAAAACAAGAACAGGCCACCTTAAAGTGAGAAGACAAATGACTCTTGAAAATAACAAACGATGAAATAGATCTGATGTTAGCTGGTAAATTATTCCAATCTGTTGGTGCTTTAAACATAAATGATCTTCTGCCGAATGATTTATTGACTCTAGGAACAGAAAAATAGAGATGGGTAGAATGTCCGATATGATAATTTGATGTATACGGTATAAGAAACTGCTGTAAATAAGGTGGATAATTAAAATAAATACATTTATATATAAGATGTAACCAGTGCATATGTCTTCTCACATTCAATGATGGCCAGTCGAGTCTATTATACATTGTGCAATGATGGGTGAAGTAAGGGCAACCTAGGACAAATCTGCAGAGTCTATTATAGGTTGTGTTAAGTGAAGCAAGATCAGATTTGTGAGCATTTTGATATATGACATCACAATAATCCATGATTGGAAGTATCAGTTCAGTGGCAAGTTTCTTGTGGACATTGAATGTAAAACAGTTACGGGAGCGATATAACATATTAATACCAAAGTTGACTCTCCGTAGAACATGATTTATATGAAGTTTAAAAGTAAGTTCAGAATCTAGCCATACACCGAGATATGTAAAACTGTCAACTTTATGCAATGATGAGCTGTCATTGCAGTTTATAACACAACAACCAGGTTTGGATTTCAATTTTTGCTTGGTACCAAATATCATGTCAGGCCTGGATGTATATATGACAGTGTCATCGGCATAAATTTGAACACAGCATGTAGCAAGACTTGATGGTTGATCATTTACATATATAGAAAATAACAATGGGCCGAGAGTTGACCCCTGGGGAACACCGCGTTGCTGAATAAACAGATCAGACTGAAATCCATTCAAGACAACACACTGTTTTCTGTTGTGAAGGTATGAGCTAAACCACTGAATTGCACTGAGAGAAAGGCCTATATTGTAAAGTTTGTCTAACAGCAAATAACGATCAACAAAATCAAAGGCTTTAGTTAAATCAATGAATATCGCACCAGTGAGCTCACATCTGTTTGACATCTGCATGCTTCCACTGGCTTAAATTTTGGAAAACACAGAAATACATTACCATAGTTATGTAGATGACACACATATTTACATAACTATGTAACCAGGGGACTATGGTCCAATACAAACTCTGACTGAGTGCACTGAACAATCAGCGATTAGATTTGCCACTTTTTCTTCAATTAAACAAAGACATAACTGAAGTAGTAGTTTTTGGAGCCAAGGAGGAATGATCACCTTTTCACCTTAAGAACATATTAAGGATAAAAGGACCTATTGCAGAGCAGGATTTGGAAAAGACTTGTCTTGGGGACTTGGGGTTAAGGTAAGATTGTCAGGGTAAGCCAGTCAGAAGCAGAGTAAGGAAGAGTAGGGCCTTCATCATCTTAAGGAAAAATATTTGCCAACTGGACATGTTCCAGCAGGAATTTGATGAGAAATCAAGGAGAAATTAACAACATCGGCTACCAAGAGTACATGTTTCCCTGATGTTAGCATGTGGCTACATGTAGCAGTGTACGTAACATAAACACTTGCAGTAGAATGCCTGAAGCAGATGACGTCAGCTTGCTTGAAAGTAGGAAAACATGGCGGAAACAGTGTATTCAGAATGGTCTGAGGCCTGAGATTTTTGCTCACAGGGATTACCATACATATGTTTACCTGATTATTTGAAACTTTAGCCATGTTTAATATGAGTATAATAGGTCCCCTTTAACAAGCTGAAAAAACATTTCCATAACAATGATCATCAAAACTCCTCCCAAAAAAAGCTGATTTTGTGATCCCAACCTGACGTTTTCATGGCGGTACATGTACATGGTGTTAAACTGCTGCTGCTGGACCTCGTTCTGATCAGCCTGGTTCTTCATGCCCTGCAGCATCTCATCAGCGATGTGCTTGGGCAGGATGGACAGTAATAGTTCCTCCTACATGGAGACACAGTTGAAGAACGGTGAGTTTTGGCATGTTCAGTACTGACAGAAAGAATAAATGTGCCCCGTGTGCATTATGTGTGCATGTGCATAGCATGACTGACGCTGAAAAGGGAATCTCATGAGATCCTGTCAAACGGTCCAATGTGTTCTGGTTGGCTGGGACTTCTTGTCTCCTTCAGCCCCCAGTGCAAAGACACTTTGGGAATTTGATTTCTTTTTGTATCTCCATCCTCATCTACATCAGTTATTTCCTATGCTTTCCACCCCCCTCTTTCAGCAACTCTCACAGGTCTGCTCTCTTTTTCCACAAATTGTTACAGTCAAAATCATGAAAAGAACATAAAGAAAGTGAGAGTATCAAATAGAAGAATTAAACCAATAAAACCACGGTCGGAGACAGTATACGTTACAGTATCTTTAACTTTGATAAATTAAAGTTATGGATTAGCATCAACTTTCAAATACCAGCAGTCTTGTGGCATGAGAAGAAATACATGATAGCGTAAAATGGCTATAAAGGAGTGCTGTATCATTTCAAATGTATTCATAATTTGATTGCACTGAAAATAAATTACATTTATCCACGATTAGAGTCCAAACTTGCTCACACTTTAATCTCATATTTGCTGGTATGTGTCTGTCCTTCACCAACCATCCCTTATATTTAGGAGAGACAAATGTTTGCCAATATACTAGTCAATTAAGACAATTAAAGGGGGCCTTGTATGGGGTACTTATCCATAGTTAGCGTAATACATACAGTAGATGTCAGTCGGCGCACCCACAGTTTGGAGAAGCAGGCAGGACTACTGACACTGAAGCTAAGCTATGTAGCCTACTGTTGTGGATGGGAGTCAGCAACAAAACAGATTTTAGCCACCTAAAAAAGTCCCACCAAAAAAGGTCAGTATTGGCTTAAGTGTATGCAATGTTGAAAGTATTTTCACTGCTTTACCTTTCTGCCAGATAGCCTGTTCTGACGATGGATTTATACTTGTGCATCAGCTCTATGCAGAGCCCACACTGTAGCCTACGCAATGGTGGAGTTTCTGTGAAGTGTTGTAAAGTTTAGTTGTTTCAAAACACGCTTTAAACAGGACTTAATAGTAGACTACTTAATAATAGACTTAATTTCAAACACAAGTACAAAAATCATCTTCACTATAACTCGCAGCATTCACAGACAAAGCACTTGTCTTTATCTGGACACATTTTCCTTGCAAATACAACATGCTAACATTATTAGCACAAGCCAATGGCATTTTACATTGTATAAATTAGCTTAGTGGCTAGCAGACATTTCCTCTACTATAAAACCAGGGACAACAGCAACATTTAACAAAGGTAATGTTACAAAATTCGGCTCTATTACAACTCACAAGGTTCACTGACAAAACAACTGTCTTATACTAAACACGTTTTCCCCCCAAAAAATACAACATGCTAACGTTATTAGCACAAGCCTATGGCATTTTACATTGTATAAATTAGCCTAGCGACAAGCAGAGATTTCATCTACCCATATCAAGCCAGGATAAATCACACACAAGACGTAAAATGCTATTTTGTGGAGGCTTTACTGTCTTCACTTCATTTCCACTGAGGGAAATGGTTTTCAGCTTACAAAAATAGACAGGAGATTTGCGTCACTGCGACGTGTAGTTACATTTCTGGGAGTGTGTGTATCAGGCTCTATATCGACGCAGAGCCTACGCCGTAGGTAAGGCATGGATTCAAAGCAGAAGTATAAATCCCGCTTGATAGGAAAAGCTGTTAATATCTTCAGTTCCTCAACTATGCGCTGTTGAAGCCACCAGACTCCATTGAGAAAATCAGTAATTTTAAGTCATTGAACATGGGAGCTGCTGGTCTAATGATTCTTTGATAAGTTAGTTAGTTTGTGTTATAGTGTGATTATGGTGGATCTGAACTAACTCTTTTAAACACCATAGTCACACAATGACACAAACAAAGTAAGAGTTTGAGGCAGTGGTAGACCAGCGGCTCCTGTGATCAGCACTGTTAAATCACTGTTTTTCTCAATGGAGTCTGGCTTTGAAAAGAGCAATGTAACAGCTTTAATTTCCAGCTGGAAGTCACTGTCTGACATCAAGGTAAAGCACTGAAAATATTCTCAATATCCTGTACACTTAAACTGATATTGATATTTTTAGGTAATTGAAATACATTTTGTTGCTGACCCCTCCAGAGCAGTACATTGATTAGCTTCCATGTTGGACTCCAGCCTGCTTCTCCAACCTGGGGCGTGCTGACTGACATCTACTGTATATAATATACTGTCCATGGATAAGTACCTCATACAACCCCACTTAAAAAATTGAACTATCCCTTTAACTTCTAAGCAAATGGAGCATAAACACTGTCGTAATAGAGACAGAGCAGGGTAGCTGGTAGACTAGAGAAAACAAAACAGTAGGGGATGGACAGGTGAACATAGAAGCTAACAAAGATCAATAACCAAAAAACAAACAAACAATAAAAAGGCTTTAAAAATATACAATTTCACTAAAGTTTCTGTTGGTAGTCACAGAGCTTGAGCTGTCCGTATTGTGTCAGGTCCCTAACGGTGGCTCCGCTGGCAAAAACAAGTCTCTCTAATCAACCTATTAGCACCGAGCAAAACACACAGTAATTAGGCAGCTCAGAGTGTTCTACCTCACAGGTGTGTATGTGTGTGTTTGCCACAAATAAGGAAATGTATTATCTCATTAAGCAACCTGTGATTGTTGTATGTGTGTGTGAGCCTCAGTTACCTGCTGGGTGCTCTGCTCCTCCAGCGTGAATTTGACCTCTAGTGACTGACGGGCCTCCAAAAAAGCTGTCCGGTACTTCCTGTCCGCCATGTAGTACGACAGCACACCTAGTGTGGCGGCGCAGAGGTACAACATCACGTTGGCCAGGAGCTGGAGAGAAGAAGAGAGGATGTGTAGCTTCAATCACTGATATCAACAGGCCTATATTTTGGACAGGCCTTTAATTCCTTTCAATTCCTTTCATGCTGTCATTTTGTAACCAACACATTCTCACTCCGACCTCGTCAAATATCGACGTTTGGTCATGAACTTTTCACGTCCAGATACAAAATGCAAGGAACCCTGGGTGTGTTGGTTGTTGAAGTTCTGGGACACCGTGTCAAGTTCTGCCTGTTATGTATTGTCTTCTTTCAAAATACACTTCTGTTTTTACATGAAATTCAATGTTTACATACAGTCTCTTTCAAAATAAAAGCACTATGTCGGTGCAACACTGACGTTTTTCTTCCTTCAGCAACAAACACATGTGATTAGGTTTAGGAAAAAAGAACAGGGTTTGGCTATATAATCTTATGGGACGTGAACAACGCTCTCCCGGATGCACGTCGGTGTTTGTTGGACCCATTCATCACTCCCACCCGCCCCACTCAGACTTTCGCAGCTTTAACTTTCATTCTTGTCCTGCCAAATTCCCCCTGATACCGCCAATCGTGACCAGCTGCGTATCAAGCTGACGTTGTGGGACGGCCTTTTTCGCTGGTGTCAGATGGTGTCTTTTTGATTTTTGCATGAACTGTCCCTTTAAACTGTGGTTCCCAACATCTTTGGCTTGTGACCTTTGCCCTCAAATAAAGCAAGGGTACATGCACACCCCAATTCATTGAGCCCTTCTTCAGTGGCTTCCTGTGACTTTGACAAAAAATAATATAGTTATTTTTTTAACATTTTAATTTTCATTTATCATTATTGTGATTCTTACATCTTCCAATTTTATAAATGTGTGGCCTACACCCTGAATAAAAAAAAAAAGTTTAAACCTCTCCTCAACAATGTCCAGCATACTTTGACAGCCTTGCACTTTTTCCTAAAATTTGCCCAATCTTAGCAGCGATGGCTAAGCTAGAGTTTTCTTAGTGAGCTGCGTAGCTATTGATCCCAAATCCAAAAAAAATAAACGTCTCGGAGGAAAATAGAGAATTTCATCGTGAGTAGACAAATTTGTTTGCTCTCACCACCAAGGTAATCATAATCACCACCAAATAATCATAAGTAGTCCACTGCAGAGCAGCTAAAAACATATTAATGAATGCTCATTCAGACCTATTAGATTAGATAAAACATACGCATACACATTAGAGTTGTACTGATACCGATACCAGTATCGGAAATGCCTCCGATACTGCCTAAAATGCGGTATCGGGTATCGGCGAGTACAACCTATGACCAATCCGATACCATGTAATGCCTCGCGTCACTAAGCATATGCACGCTACAGGCAAACGAAACCGAAACGGAGTCGAGGTTAAAAAGCATTCTACTGTAGCCTTTAAAATGTCTTTTTTACCAAATTGTGTGGCTGCACTTTAACCTGTGTCTTGATCTGTGTCAACACTGGATAATAATAATAAAAAAAGTTTTATGGCATTCATTCTACTATTAGGTATTTATTTCTTAATATTTTACATAGAGTTTTAGGAGTTGAGACATACAACAATTCATATCCCATCCATTTTTATTTTACGCACTGGTATCGGATCGGTACTCGGTATCGGCAGATACCTAAGGTTCAGGGATCGGAATCGGTATCGGGAAGGAAAAAGTGGTATCGGTACATCTCTAATACACGTATGCATACGCCTACATCTGCATATACACTTAAACACATATAAACCTGTAAGCATGCAGACATACACTCCCATACACACAATAAGTCTATAATAAGTCAGGCTAATGTGTAAAACTAAGATGAGATTTAAAGATGTGAACAGAGTCAGCTGATCTGATGCTCAGTGAGGCTGCTCCAAAGCTGAGGAGCCAGAACTGAAAAGGCTTGATCACCTTTTGGCTTTAACCTGGACTCTGGAGCAGTTAGAAGACCCAGACTAGCAGACCTGAGGGGCCTGTTGGATGGTACGGTGTGAGAAGCTCAGTTACATACTCCAGTGCCAGATCATTGAGAGCCTCGTAGGTGATTAAAATAACTTTAAAATGGATTCTGAAAGAGAGAGGAAGCCAAAATAGGCTCCAGACAGATTTTTAAACATTTTTGGGGACCAAAGTGGCGTCTTTTAATAGTAGAGGTTGCTGACCCCTGCCCTAGCTGAACTCTGTGACACACTGGGCATCTTTCACCTTTTAAGCTACAGGTGCTTTGTCATTTATCACTTCACTGGGGGCCATATTTACCTGTCTCACCAGCATGGGCCCCTGCAGGTTATCCTCAAACCTCTGAGCCACGGTCACCCCCAGCACCAGGGTGTGTATCCCACAGGAGAGCGCTGTGAGCAGCAGCAGAGGCACCAGGTTCAGCGGCAGAGTCAGAAAACTGGAGAAACTGAAGAACGCCTGCCAGCCCACAGAGTCACTGGCCTGGGGGAAACGCTCATAGTTGAGCCCCATGTAACACAACACATGCACGGTGACCATCAGCCACAGTATGTACGGCACTGCCCCGCGTGACACAGGTGACGCGGGGAGCTTCTGTTTCCAGCACAGCACGTAGAGCACAATATCCGCAGCCAGCGCCACAGCAGCCACCACCACCATGGCCAGTTTGTCCTCGGTGTACACCACCGCGCACATGATGATGATGAAGCTGTTGAAGAGGGCAGCGAAGATCACCAGCACCGGCAGGTTCTCTTGTCTCTGGCGGCGGAAGTAGGTCTGGTAAGTCCTCTCCAGTGACTCAGGCGCAAAGGTGAGGCGCACCGCGCGCGGCAGGCAGCTGCAGCAGCCCGGCTGGAGCACCGTCACCTCACGCGTCCGGGCCGCTCCGTGACCCGGATCGCTGGGAACCTGCACTGAGTACTCCACTGAGTACTCTGCAGACTGCTCCGGGTTTGTGGCATGGACCCGGTTCACAGACATGTTGGTTTAATTATTAAAGTAATCCTCCTGGTTCATGAAGTAATACTGAGGTGCATTAATCCTGAAGTGCGCACGATGCCAAAATCCATGAAGTTGTGATGGTCCCATCTCTGTGTGAAGGAGATAGATGTCAAACTTTTAATATTATTGCAAACATAATTACATCCCAGAGTGTTTCAACGACTAGTCACATCATTATACAGGCTATAACCACCACACAACTTGCTTACCTTTATTTTATAGTGCCACTAAATTAAAAGATTCTTGGAGCTGCTGCTCTGTCTCCAGGCTGCTTCAGTGGAAAAACTTCTTCTTTCTTGCTGCTGCAGTCCTGTGTCTGCCATGGTCGTCCAACAACACCCTGAGCAACAGGTGAGTATCCATCTGCAGGCAACATGTCATCTTTCCAAGTAGGCAGAAGAGCATCTTATGTTCACATATAAATCCATACTTCTCTTACTCGCGGTGAGACCTGCACTACAGACTAATCAGAGATGCTCTCCAGTCTTCTGATGTTATTCCTCGCTCCACTCTCCTCCCACTCTCCCCCCCCTCCCTCCTTCTTCTAAATACCAAGTCCTCTGTTACTGTTGCTAAGATGAAACCAAAGTAACTGCCAGCGTGCAATCATGTCTGGGGAAATGTGGCAGCGTTGGTGTGAAGAGGTGAGGAAAAGGGAAAGAGATCATCACAGCGAGTCTGCAAAGTGTCAAACAGCAGACAGTTTGATTTATCCTCCACTGTTTTACAGTATAGCAGTATTTTAGGGAATAAATACACAAACAGATGCTAGGATAACACTTGTCTTTATTCAACACTTGCAGCAACAACAACACATTTGTGACACAATTGTCAGGTTTGATCAATAAGCAAATGTGCTTTTTGTGTAAAAAAAAGCTCAGATGTGTCAACTAGAGTTTCAATTCTCTGCCTGACCCAACCCACCAGGTTCGAGCTGTAATTTCTCAGGCTTGAATCAGGACAGGTTTGTGCCAACTTCCCTTGTAAGAAAAGAAAAAACACAGGGCTCACAGTCTGTGTAATGTCATGGCAGATGTATGGACTGTGTTGGCTTGAACTCATTATAACTAATGAAAATGTTGACCTTGAGAATTAGATTGAAATTGTTAGCACAAGGGGGTCATTTGCTCATATAAGCCGTGTTTCCACCGAGCAGTATGGTTCAGCTCAGTTCAATTTTATCTATAAAGCCCAGTATCACAAATCCCAACTTGCCTCAGAGGGCTTTACAGCAGACGACTTCACTCTGTCCTTTGGACAAGTAGAGACCCGCAGGAAGAGCAACTGAGTTCAGTACGCATTTTTTTCCGTTTCCACTGTGAAAAGTTGTGGATGGTACCAATGGAACCGTTCTGTGCCATCCCCATTTTTGGTCCCCCCTCTGTTGGGGTACCTAGCACACAGATCTGGTACTAAAAGGTGGAGCTGTGAACACTGCAGTCTGTTGATTGGTCAATAGAGGATGGTCTCACTGCAGCCTGTTTGAGCTTGTTCTGAAAATGTTGGCGTGCAGCCTCGTTCTGTCGACGATAAAAAAGGCGCAGACTTCCATCTGTGTCACCGGTGATGAGGAAATACAGTGAGTGCTGGACAGAGCAGTGAGTGACAACAACCCCGACCACATTTAAGAGAACTGTTTGCAGTGGAAACACTAGGGTCTAGCTACCATGTCTGAAGGGTTACTGTTGGTTCCAAAGGTATCATACTGAAAGTGTTTAGTGGAAATGGAGCTATAGCCGACTGTACACAAACTCTAGCGCACTGCACAGGAGACGCATGAAAGTGGCAGTTCTCATGAGATCCAAAGAATTGCAATGGACTGGAGGGAAAACAAAAGACAGAGAGAGGGGCTGCAAGGTGACTCGGTTGGCCGTGGGAGAGATGTGCACGCAGCGGAGAGCAGTGATCATCATCTGAGCGACACATAGCCGTGGAACTCCGTGGGCACTCGAAAAAGAAGACACATTGAGGGGTGCAACCCGCTTTGCCCAACCTGTTGTGTGTGAGACGCAGAGCGGACGATAGACTCTTGAAGAAACAGAGGGAAGAGAAGATGGAGAAGTGGTGTGGGCAAACATGTCAGGTCTTAGCTCGTTACAAATGCTTTAAGAAAAAAAATGTAATTGGAAATTTTGGTTTTCGACTCGGGCTCGGGCCCAAAATAGCTGCTGTGGTTCAATATTCGGTAAAGCTTGGACAGAAACTATACAGGTTCATGTAGGGTTGGGCTCCATCAAAGCTCTAGTGTACACTTGCAATAATGCATAATGCAAATAATTAATTTGGGTCACATTTGGGGAAATTACATAGGCTTACATTCATTTCCTGGAAACCAAACCCAAACCCAAACCTTACCCTGACCACTGACCCAACAATCAGCTTGTTCTGCATTGTGGACACAACTTTTCCCCCAGCTGGAAAAGCCATCCAATATTAACTGGTCCTTGCTCTGATGTGTGTCCCTGACGATAACTTAATTCATACACACGTACACACACTTGCACTCTTCTTCTGTGTTTGTCCTTGTGTTCAGACACTCTGACACAAGGATCTAAACTCTGGCTTCATCAGTCTGTGTGTGTGCTTGTTGTCGGCGCTGATTTTCCTATCATGCCACTAAGAGCACTTCCCAAAGCCAACAATATAGCCACCACAACTCCCACAGTCCCCAGTCTCCCCAGAGCTGCGGTGCCCAGCACCGCAGCCCCAAGTGCACCGGCTCCAATCGGCGCTGCTGCTGCAATGACCGTCTCCATGCCGATGCCTTTAATTAGCTCCGGCCCCGTGAGGAGGCCCCTTTGTAGATTCACCTGAGTGTGGAACGGGCTCTTTGGTGCACCCAGAAAAAATGCCCCCACTGCAACAAGGGTGATCGTTATGAGTTCTGATGTTGAAGGCAGAGTTGCTTTCAGTGCTACAGCTCTCACTGCCACAACTGCACCGACAGCAACTGAACCTAAAATGGCTAAAGCTGAATTTCTGGACCCGAATGCCTGTTTTGCTGCAACACTCGCAGCTCCGAGTGACACCCCCGCAGCTGTAGCTGCTCCTAATGTCCCCCCCATGCTGCTCCGGGGCCCTAGAGATGAGCTTGATTGCAGAATAGCTCTCAGGGCAAGTGATGATATTACAGCAGCTCCCACAGCAACCTTTTCAGCCACCCCTGGCCCCAGCCCGACCGTGGCCACAGTTCCCAGGCCAGCTCCGAGCAGCCCTGCGGACAGGAACGCCACCCAGAGGACTGACTGCAGCATCAAAACCACCTCTGCTTCAGAGCCTTCTCCTGCTTCACCTGCACCTAAACCTACTGAGAATCCCAGTATACCTACAAAAACAGAGTAGAAGAAGATCCTCTCTAAAAGTTTGCAGCTGGTTTTAGATTTTGGTCTTTGTGTCATCCTCTCTGTCAGAGCCTTACGAAGGGCACAAAGCACAGAGATGGTCAACCCCACGACGAAGAGTCCAACCATCACACCCATTCTTCCATACAGGACGCTGAGGTAGAGGGTGGTGAAGATGATTAAGAGAGCTGTGGTCATGTCATTAATATTGGAGTATGAGTACACTACAAGGACCAGAACGCCTTGAGCTGCGATGTAGATCCACGGTGGAAGGACGCCCGCTAACACTCCAGTAGTGACGGCACCCACCACCACAGAGACTCCCGTTGCGGCCTCCACTACCCACTGCAGCCTTGCTCCAACTTTGACCCACAGCTTCATCGTCATAGCAGCAAGGAGGAAACCACTTCCCAGAGAGAGGAGCACAGAGGTGAACACGAGGCACACCGTCACTACCCCGACGCCTGTGGAGCCGGCTCGACCAGCAGCCAGAGTGGCAGCATTGAGCAGGACGCCATCTTCAGTCAGTGCGGGCTCAACTGCAAATAACGCAGCTTCTCCAAAAGCGAAGCCTGCTGCTGCACTTTGTAGGATCGTCTTCACGACACCAGCACCACCTGGGAGGAGTAAAGACAAAAGGATTTGAGTCTTTGAGATAATTTCAACGAGTCACCACTGGTTGAAAGTAACTAAGTACATTTACTTAAATACTGCACTAAAGGTGCCCCAATTTTTTTGGCTCAGTTTACTCTTAAAGTGTAACCGATATTTTTTACTGGATCCTATTTTCCTATTTTTATTTTTATTTTTGTCTATGTGAATTATAAGAACATTTTTAAACTGGACCAGTGTGGAGCGAGAGTTACTGCAGGCAGCAGCACCAAAACAGGCGGCAATATAACCACTCGGGGCATTTGTGTCAGGTTATGTCCACTAAAAGTGTTTGTCAGATTTTTATTGGAAGTGTCTGACAAAGTTATGGAAAACATCCTTATAGCGCTAGACCTTTTTATTAAAGAGATCTTTTTTCTTTAACCAGAAACAGCCCTGACATTGCTATTGGCAAACCCACCAGACTCCATTTAAATAAACACTAATTTTAGTGTGTATAGAGTATATACACGTGTATTTCAGAGATGACCCTAGAGAATTTTTGTAAGTTTTATTTTGTTTTTGTCGACTTTTAATGAAGTGTGTTGTATGATGATAAAAAATACTGTTTATTTAAATGGCGTCTGGTGGGTTTGGGGATAGGGATTTCAGGGTTGTTTCTGGTTTAAAAAAAAGGATCTTACTTATTAACAAAAGATCTATCTCTGTAGTAATCCTTTCCATAATGTTGTCCGACACTTATAATAACAATCTGAGCCTGTCAGTGGCAAAAACAAGCACTTTTAGTGGAAGTAAAGTGATATTGCACAATTGCCCAATAATGTTTCATTACAGTCTGTTATGTGGCGTCAGAGCTCTCATTCAATATTGAACCAGTTTCAAAAATTGTTGTCTTCATTTGTCAACTAGACCCAAAAACATGGGAAGATAGCGTCCAGGATGAAGAAGACCAAAGTTACCCTTTAATGTGGAGCGCTACAAGAAAATAACCATGATGATGTCATCATCCTTTGTGGTCTTGGGGTGCATGGAGGCGCCCAAGACTACAGATTTTCAATGAAATGCCTGTGTTACATACTGTGGTATGGAGTTTAATGATATTGGCTTTCCCCTCGTTAAAAGAAGTGTGACAAAAGATGGTCGATTTGCATTATGGGAAATGTAGGAAGCAGAGTGAGAGTGAGAGCAGAGAGTGATTCAATTTTGCCTTTTGTTTTTCCTATTTGATCTATTTTTTCAGTTTACACTAAAATTATTTTATTACATTAAGCCTGCCTTTTGTAAAGCACTTTGTAATCACTGACTAGTTTTCTATGATTAATAATACTAATACTAATATATACTAGGAACTAAAAGTCTATTTCTATTTCCAATGACTTACTTTGTGCATTCTGATTTTTAAAACAAACCATATGTATGGAGCTGATATCCTTCCAAAATTAAACAAACAAACAAAACATGTTTTGCAAATGCCCTACGATTCACTAACAAGCACAACATTGTTTGTAAATATAAAACATCATTAACAAACTAATGCATTTAATTTGGCAAATAAAACATGTACCTATCAAACAAATACATAACATATTTCTAATAAAAATATATTCTACAAAGACAAAAAAATCTACAAAGGCAGAAAATGATAAGATAAATACTGCATTTGTGATGTATTACAAATAATAAATTATATAATATGTTTTGTATTTGCAAAACAAAATGCTTTAGTTTGTTATTTATGTTTTATATTTACAAACCACATTGTGTTTGATAGTGAATCATGAAGTATTTGTAAAACATGTTTTGTTTGTTTAGTTTAGGTTTGGCAGGATATCAGCTCCATACATATGATCAGATTATAAAATATGACACCTTATTTAGCTGTATCTCCACCTGCCTCATTAAAATACTGCTTATATATTAATTTATCAACAATAATCCAACAATAAAGCAATACAGTATGAAACTGTGAAAGGCATCATTCTGCTTTATGAGCGCTTTTACTTTAAGTGTATTTGCATAAGACATCTGTACCTTTATTAGCTCCGTTTTGAATGCAGGAACTTTTTTATATTGTGTTATGGCTACTTGTAGTTAAATAAAGGATCTGAATATTTCTTCCATCACTCATGTTTACAGACTGCCTTCCTGCTGCTGCTGTCCCTTTAAGGGAAAAGTGAAACCTTCTGAATGAGTCCATGCTGAAATTTAAAACCAGGAAGTCTGTCTGAACTACGAAAAGACAACAAACATGTTAACAGACCATGCTACCACCTGCACACCTGTGTCACATCAGTTCATGCACTGCAGAAATCATTATCTATGCTCTGTCTGTACTCTGGTTCATTGTAGGTGTCATAAAATATTCTGTGTGGCATGGCTGCAGCTCTTAGATCCTGATCAGATATCAACCCTGAGTCCATCAAATGAAAGCAGCTGTGCAGATATAGTGTTAAAATCTCAAGTTTAACACTTGATTCATTATAGAGGTGAAATGTTTTTGCAGAGTATTTCAGGAGTGATCTTACCCAGGCTGGTCTCTGCCATGGCTCCTACTGCCTCTCTGTACGTTGAACTCACTGACTCCTCCTCTTCCTGTTTGATGCAGCTTTTCACCAGCAGAGGGCAGAAACTCCCTGATAATAACACCAGAGAGAAGCAGGAAAGCAGTGTGACGGCCTATGGCAAACCGTTTTAACATTTAATCGCTAGACTGGATATTCATTACTGATATCTGCAACATAATTTTGCCTAGTCAAAACTCTTATTCAAGATATCTGTAATTAGATTTTGCCTAGTCAAAACTCTAATTACAGATATCTGTAATTCAGTTTTGACTAGTAAGATTCAAACTATTTTTGCCATTCATGTGTATGGGGTTTGTCATTATAGATATCTCCAATGTAGTTGCGGATATCTGCAATTGTTATTGCGGATATCTGCAACTGAATTGTGGATATCTGTAATTCCAGTTTGAGATATCTACAATTTAATTTTGACTAGTCATAATTCAAGTTCAAGATATCTTTAATTATCATCAATTGAAGATATCTACATGGTCCTTTCTAGATATCTTGAATT